CGACGACGACGACGACGACGACAACGACGACGACGACGACGACGACGACGGCACGCCCAAACAGGCTCCCGAAGACACCCCAAAGCCACGCTCCCAAAAGGCCTTCTGGGGCCCGATTCATACGGCCTTCGCCCCCCTACACAACCATTTTCCTCGAAGGCCTTTCGGAATGCAGATTGGCATGCGTGGACTGTGGTCCACTACTTCAGTGGAGCAGCGAATTCGTCAAGGCTGGGGCCTGCTTGAACCTGAGCGCGCGCGAAGCGCGCGCGATGGGCCCCACGACCGCCGAAGAGGCGCACAAAAGACTCCCAAGACGGCCCCAGGGAGCCCAAAAATTGCCCAGGAGGAGCCCCAGACGGACTAAGAGAGCCCCAGGACAGGCCCAAGCTGGGCCACAGAGCGGGAGCGGGAGCCCCCAGGGCGCTCCAAGACGGCCCAGGTGGCCCAGGCCTCCCCCCTCCTTCCCTCCCGCCACCTCCCCTTGCCTCCATTCCCCCCTCCCCTCTTCCTCCCCTCACCCCTCGGCTTTCGTGCTCCTCCCTCCTCTCCTGGGACGGCCCCGCCAGAGCAGAGCGCCAGACAGGCCCCGCCAGAGCGAGCGGGACATCGCTATACCCGATCCCCCTCCCACCCCACCCAAGTGCTTCACAAGTTGCTTCCCCCCTCCCGCCCCTCAAGGGCGACCCTGCGGGACCCCCGTGACCCCTCGCCCGCGGGGCCCCCGGTGACCCTTGTGACCCCCCCCCCCTCCCCTGCACTGCGGCACCCCCGTGGCCCCTCCCCCGCGGGCCCCCCGTGACATTGGTGACCCCCCCGTGCACCCCACACCCCACCCCTGGCATCGCTCGGACGTGTGCCTTTTTCCTTCGGCGAGGACCATCCAGGAGCATCCTCAATCATTTGGCGAAAAAACCACGCAGGAAACCCCAAAAAACACAGGAAATGGACGTCCGATCGATGGCCAGCACCCCGTGGCCCCCGAGAGCCTCGCGCCAGAGGTCGCTCCTGCCCGGGGTCGCCCCTGCACGAGGCCGAGCTGCGCCGATCATGCAGCGCCACGGGCTGCCCCAAACGGTGCGCTGACCATTCTGTGTGGTTGCGGCGAGGGCGGCGGCGAAGGCGAAGGCGGCGGCGGAGGCGGCGAAGGCGGCGGCGGGGGCCCTCGCTGGCTCGCGGCCCCGGGGGAGTTCGCCATCGCCGTCGTCGTCGTCGTCGTCGCCGCCGTCGTCGTCGTCGTCGTCTTAGTCGTCGTCGTCGTCGTCGTCGTCGTCGTCGTCGTCGTCGTCGTCGCCGTCGTCATTATCGTGGTCGCCGCCGCCGCCGTCACCGCCGATGGCCACGCACATTTGGGGGGATCGGGGGAGGGGGGAAGGCTACTTCGAAGCACCCCTGCTTCTCAGGAGGCGCGGGCCCTGTCCCAAGATGCAGGGCCGGCGCCTCCCAAGAAGCGGCCTCCCTCCAAGAAGAAGCATTCCCCCCTCCTCCCCCTTGCACCCCTGTGCGCGCCGCCCAGAGGCAGTGGGGATTCTGGGGTCAACCTGTGGGGGGTCCGGAAAAGGTAGGCTGCATTTCGCTGATTTGCCTCACTCGGGGTCGCAAGTGTATCAAAAGCGATGCTTTGCTTGCCTTTTCCGGGGCAGCTCCTCTGGAAGTAGGCTTGGCCCAAGTCAGTATTCTTCTCAGACAATCAGTCTTGCTGAGTTTGCCCTTCGCTGACTTCTCCTCCTCCTCCTCCTCCTCCCTCCCTCCCTCCCTCCCTCCCTCCTCCTCCTCCTCCTCATCCTCCTCTCCTCTTCCTCCTCCTCCTCCCCCTCCTCCTCCTCCTCCTCCTCCTCCTCCTCCTCCTCCTCCTCCTCATCATCATCATCATCACCCTGATCATCTTCCTCCTTCCCGCCTGAAGATCAGCCGCCGTGCTTGCGCGACGTGGGCGTGTCAGAATGCCAGTGCTGCTCCGTGGGGTTGCTGCAGTCGCCTCCTGGACCCCCCGCCCCTCTGCGGGCAGATCTTAGGCAGCAGTCCGACCCCCCCACTGGCAGGCGAAGGAGAGGCGGCGGGGAGGAGGGCCCCGGGGCTCCCCTCGCGCCGCGTGCGCCTCCCCCCCTCCCAGATGTTCCCCGCGGCTCCGCCGCGCGCTCGCGGCGCGCCTCCCGACGATCGGGGGGAGGCAGGCTCGGGGGGGGGGGGGAAGAGGAGGAGGAGGAGGAGGAGGAGGAGGAGGGCGAGGGCGAGGGCGAGGGCGAGGACGAGGACGAGGAGTGGAGAGGACGCCATGACGATGTCATACTATACAACCACACACGTGCCCTGAGCTCGTGGAACTACGAGACGACATGGATGAGCACGCGCACGCACTGGGAGAATAATTCCATGAACTGCCATGATTGACAAACACAACCTCCCAGAGCAAAGCGAATGTGAAATATCACGGCCCAGCCAGGAAATATTGCAAGCAGCCCAAATACACACACATACACACACACATGGAAGCCACCACCAAACAACAGACATTGTGAACATCCACGGCCCACCACTCGTGAACATCATTGACATCAGACTTCGGAGAAGGCCTTCACCTTATTGGACGCACCTCATGTTCCTCGGCACCTTTCCGCACGTGGGATAGATAGAAAAACTTGAATACCTCCGCCCGTGGTGTACAACACAGACGCGGAGAGACCGAACCCATTGTGAATCAAGACACTCTGCACGATGAACGGCAAAATTACGACCCAGATGACAAAAGCACACGGTTGGCCCAATGCGGCATTGTACTTGAGAACGCCCCGACGGGCCGCGGAGACAATACGATGTGAGCCCAAGCTGGCACGCTAGCCCACTACGGCATGATAGGCGACAGCATGCTGATGGGACCGCGTGTTGCTCCAGCCACATACCTGCTTGCTGCCACAGTTCGCCTTTCTCGCACGCTATGGTCCAAGCTTTGTAGCGGATGGGGGGCGGCTCGCGCGACGCCTTGCCATCTCGCCCAGCAGCGGTTTTCCATAGTTTCTGTCCGCCCTTCCCGCACTTGCTGATCCGAGCATTGTAGCTAATGACAGTCGGGTCAGGCTTCTGGGCTTCTGTTCCCACATCGCATTCGGCAAAAGTTGAGCAGTCCAAATGTGTTCGCACTTATCGCATGCGCCAAAACCAGCACAGTAGAAGATGGGTCGGGATTCGGCGCCCACAGCCAAGCTTCCTGCTGCCTCTGACCGTCCTTCTCGCACGTACCGCGCATGAACGTTTCTCCGGAGCCTCCTCGATTTAGCCAACCCGACAACCTAGGCTCGCTGGCCTCGGCGGCGGGTGCCACTCAAGCGCCACTGCGAGGCACCGAGGAACGATTCAAGGCCTACCCGATAGAGCCAAAACCACAACGTAAGCCCTCGAGCCGCATGTGCTTGAGGGACGAGGACGAGGAGGAGGACGAGGTCCAGGAGGAGGAGGAGGAGGAGGAGCAGCAGGAGGAGGAGGGGCGAGGAGGAGCAGCAGGAGGAGGAGGAGCAGCAGGAGGAGGAGCAGGAGTAGGAGGAGGAGGAGGGGCGATAGCCCACCCCGCCCTCGAGCACGGGGGCTCGCTATCGGGGGCTTGTCGACGATCTGCCTCGGCGATGTGCTGGTGACTCCGGCGCTCGACTGCTCTCCCCCGGGTGAGCTGGTCCCTGACGTTCCCCCCTCAACTAGACGTAAGAGTGACCTTTCGCCAGAGTGACCTTTGGTGCGGGCCCAATGGGTTCCCCCGATCGCCGAACGCGAGGCGGCAGTGGCGTCCTGCGCGCTTGTGTTTGGCCCCCCCGCGGACCCCGAAAAAGCCGCGCACCAAAGGTCACTCTTACCCAGGGTCACTCTTGCTTGTAGTCGACCCCCTCGCTCCCCTTGCCGCCCAGACCCCGCAGAGTCCCCAGTCGGTTCGGGCGCTCGGTGGGGGGCGGCCGGCTGGAGAGGCCGCACCCAGACTGCGCATGGGCAAAAAAGACCACACGATAGCGCGAAGACCATGGGCAAAGTCAGAAAACAGCATCGCAGGGAGGGAGGAGGCAGCGGCAATGAGCGGCTCGGGGGGGGGTCGAGGGTTGCAGGGGAGCGTGGGCCTGAAAGAGGCCCCTCACGGCCTCTGGAAGCATTTTTTGGGTGGAGGGCACAGGGTGAAATCTGAAGTGTCGTTTCGATTGATTTTCGAGGCTTGAATCTGCAAAAGGTGAATCACAAGACGGACATTTTCGAGGTGCTAAAAGCCCGTATGGATTTCACCCTAAGCCCTCCACCCTAAGAAAATGCTCTGCCATTGGGAACGTTGACAAGAACCATCACAAACCAACGTTTTCCGCGACGTGTACCCATGTGGCAAGACCAAAGGGGACGGCGGATCTATTCCCACCACCGCGCCTAGGTTGTATGTGAGAGGCCTGTTGGATGCTTGCGGGTCTATCTTTGGAGGTCTTTCGGAAGCCTCTGGGAGGCGGTTTCGGTTGTGTCTTGGGGCCTCTCGGGGCCTCTTTGGGGGCCTCCTGGGGCCGCTTCGGACTTCTGGAAGGCCTTTTGGGGGTCCTCTGATGCCCCCCCAGTGAACAGGCGCCCGAACAGCTGCCACAAGCCCCTGGACGCCCCCAGGACAGGCCTCGACGACGACGACGAGGACGACGACGAGGACGACGACGACGACGACGACGACGACGACGACGACGACGACGGCGGCGACGACGACGACGACCGACCGACCGACCGACCGACCGACCGACCGACCCTCCGACCGTCCGACCGAGCGACTGCCGACCGACCGACCGGCCATCGTCGTATGGCGGCCTCTGCAGGCCGCCCGACGGAGGCGCTTCGAGACCTCCAAAGGCGCTCAAGAGTTTCATCCTCGATCGTCGATCCAAGAGCTTTGATCCAAGAATCTTGATCCCCGAAGCATCGAAGCCCGGCCCCCCGGGACGAGGGGACGAGGACGCTTCTTTTCGAGGGGCCCCAACCCCTCCCCCGCCGCCAGCGAGGGGAGCCGTTGGCCGCGCCCGCGCTCGACGTCCCGGAGTGGGCGATCGGCGAGGGCGCGCAGGAGCGGCCTTCCTTCCCCCTCCCTCTTTGCCCCCCTTCCTCCTCCTCCTCCTCCTCCTCATCATCCTTCTCCTCCTCCTCCTCCTCCTCCTCCTCCTCCTCCTCCTCCCCCCCTCCTCCTCCCCCTCCTCCTCCCCCCTCCTCCTCCTCTCCTCCTCCTCCTCCTCCTCCTCCTCCTCCTCCTCCTCCTCTTCCTCCTCCTCTTCCTCCTCCTCCCCCCTCTTCCTGCTCATTCTGTCTTCCTCTCTCTCATATTCCTCCCACCCCATCCCCTGGCGCGCGGAGTGCGCCAGAGGCGGCGCCAGAGGCGCCGCCAGCGGGTCCCAGCGCCGATCCGGGAAAACCGCGCGGTCCTCCTCCGGGAAAACCGCGCAGTCCTCCGCAGGTTTCTTAATATGCGTGGGGAGGTCTCACCCTCCGACGGGGGTCAACCTCTCCTCGTCGTCGCGCCGCGGCGGGGGTCGGAGCGCCTTCGGCGCGCGGTGGCTGCCCGCGACGGGGGTCGATGTGGTGCTGTCGGCGAGGGTGACGCCCCCCCGACGCTTATTAAGAAGTTCGGAGTAGGGTGGGACCGGCTCAAGGGAGCGACGATCAAGAACCGGTTTTGCGCGTGATGGCATGGCGATGGCGACCTTGCGCGGTGGCTTACGCGGGCCGCCCGCGCGGCACGCCCTGCGCGCAAGCTTACGCGGGCAGCTTGCGCGCCAGCGTCGGCGCAGACGACCCCGTCTTTGGGCGCCGTTCGGAGGGGTAAACGTCGACCTGGATTCGGCGATACGTCGCCGATAGATTGGCGACAGGCCCCGACAGTAGAACTAGGGGTGGACCTAAACGGTGTTTTGGCGATTTCGTGGGCCGTTTTCGTTTCGATGTCGTTTTGCAGCAAAGGCGAATTCAAGACAAAACGAGGAAAAAACGAAGACGAAACGAAAACGAAAAGCACTGCTTAGGTCCAGCCACGACGGTGAAACCGCGCGCTCCTGGGCTGGGTGGGCCATCGGGGCACACCTGGAGCTCGGCCCCTCCCTTTTCCTCCTCCTCCTCCTCCTCCTCCTCCTCCTCCTCCTCCTCCCCCTCCTCCTCCTCCTCCCTCCTCCTCCTCCTCCTCCTCCTCCTCCTCCTCCTCCTCCTCTCTCCTCCTCCTCCTCCTCCTCCTCCTCCTCCTCCTCCTCCTCCTCCTCCTCCTCCTCCTCCTCCTCCTCCTCCTCCGCCGCGCGCTCCTGGGCTGGGTGGGCGGCGCCCCCCCGACGCCCATTCGGAAGGTCGGGGCGTGCAGCTCTGCTGCTCCCCTGGCGGGCGCGTCGGCGCTGCCTCGGCGAGGGCTGCCGTGCTGCCCCTCCCGCCCCGCCGGCGCGGTGCCCCGCGTGGGCGGCCTGGGTGGGCGGCGCCCCCCCGACGCCCATTCGGAAGGTCGGGGCGTGCAGCTCTGCTGCTCCCCTGGCGGGCGCGTCGGCGCTGCCTCGGCGAGGGCTGCCGTGCTGCCCCTCCCGCCCCGCCGGCGCGGTGCCCCGCGTGGGCGGCCTCCACGAGGCGCGCCACGAGGTGCTCGCTCGCTCGCTCCCCCCCCCCTGGAGGAGAGAGGAGGAGGAGGATGAGGAGGAGGAGGGAGGTGGAGGGAGGAGGAGGAGGAGGAGGGAGGAGGAGGAAGGAGGAAGGAGGAGGAGGAGGAGGAACGAGGAGGCGGAGGAGGAGGAGGAGGAGGAGGAGGAAGGAGGAGGAGGAGGAGGGAGGAGGAGGAAGGAGGAGGAGGAGGAGGAGAAGGAGTAGGAGGAGGAGAGGAAGGAGAAGGAGGAGGGGTGGGTCTACTTCTGTGGGGGGTCTCACGGGCCTCGTCAAACAAGATTGCTTGGAGGTCTCGTGATCGTTTTCTTGTCCACTGTTTTGCCGATCGGCTCGGGCCCCGTTGGACTGCCTGGGACACTTGCGTCTCAGACCCTGAGATCCGGGCGCAGCACCTTTCCATACCGGGGGGCCGCTCGGCTTCGGGCCCCAGGGACATCACAAGTCGATCCGGCTCGCATGACAAGTCGTTGTCCCGATGTTGCTCGGACGAGGCTAGGACGAGGATGCGTCCGTTCCAGAGCTTTCTGGAACGCTCTCAGAGCGGTCTGGAACGCTCTCAGAAGGCCGCGTCGCCCGAGACATCCTCCAGAGCCGCTAGATCTCGGAGATGTCCGCTTCATCCTCATCCCATGTCATCCTCGTCTTTGCTTCGTTTTAGTTGCACCTTTTCCGCGACGTCGGATCTCAGCGGAGTTCTGGCGTCCTGAACTTTCGGGGTCCCCTGAGATCCCGGCTTAAGTCGGGCCTGTCCCTCTGCAGGAGGGATCTTCAAAAATAGTCCAAACATAGTGTGGGGACTATGTTTCTATTATTTGTTGGCGCAAGTTGGAGTATTTGTTGACTATTTTTTCATTTTTCTTCCAAGATCTCCCATAACAGATTCAAAAGATAGCGTGGGGACTATGTTTCTATGTTTTGCGCATTGTGGGGGTATTTGATGACTATTGTTTCATGTTTCCTCCAAGATCTCCCTGTAGGGGGGACAGGCCCGACTTACGTCCCGGCCCTGTTTCTGTGCGGGGCCCGCTCTCCGTCCCGAGCCCGCACGCTCTTGCGGTCCCCCGGAGCTCAGGGGAGGGCCCGACGGAGGTCGAGAGTGCCAGCAGTCGGGAGCGGAAAAGAGGGGGGTGATGACTCGGGAGGGGGGGGGGGATGTCATGGCGCGGGCCAGGATTTTTCCTCAGATCTCATGGCGCCTGTTCTTATTTCACTACGTCCCAGGCCCCCCCGCTGGGCCGCGCACATGCCGCCGGTCATGATTTGCACCCGCCCCTCCAGAAATAGCCTGGGGACGATTTGTTGATCATTTTTTAATCATTGGGGGGCATGTTTTTGTATTTCTAATTTTTCGCCCAAAATCCCCCTGTAGGGGGGCACGCCCGACTTAAGCGTAATGTGGTGGTGTGGGGGGGGGGGGGTGGGGGGCGATCATCGGGGGCAGCGAGGGCCGCAGAAAAGAAGCCCTTGAGGGCCCCTGGTGGAGCCCTTTAGGACCCAGAAGGAGGCCTCGAGGACCCGAGAGGGGGGCACCTTTCTCCCCCCCCCAGGGAGCGACGCCCAAAAGGTTGCCCGCCGCGATTTCTGTTCACGACGCGAGCGTGCCTGAGTTCGGTCCGTCACCTGCCTCGATTGGGGCCGAACTGTGCGAACAAGTCAGGGGCGACCACCTCGATCTCGAGTGGTTTGTGGACGGTTTCCCTCGCCGCCCCCGGCCCGCCCCCCGAGCCCGAAGCAGGCCCCGTCCGGGACTCGGGGCGCGCCCGCGCCAGCGGAGGGGATCTCCGCCGCGCCGTGGTTGCCGCCATGCAAGCAGTGAGGACAGCACAGCCCACCCCCCACCCCCAGCCGGGAGGCGCTCCCCGGCGCTCCCAGGCGCTCTCAAGCGCTCCCAAGCGCTCCCAGGCGCTCCCAGGCGCTCCCAAGCGCTCCCAGGCGCTCCCAAGCGCTCCCAGGCGCTCCCAAGCGCTCCCAGGCGCTCCCAGGCGCTCCCCATGGGCGCTCCCAGGCGCTCCCACTCCCGACCTGGAGATCCAGGGGGTCATGGCTGGATGGTTCTGGGGGCCAAAGCCACCCTCACTCCCAGCCACGACCTCCCGAAGCATCACGTCGGGAGGGGGGGGGTCCACGCTGGGGGGTGGGGGTGGGCTGTGCCGTCTTCAAGCCGTCGGCTCCCCCTCCCGTGGCCGCCCTCGGGGCGGCGGCGGGGCGGGCTCACAGCCGAACGCGGGCCGCGCGCGCGGGGAGGGGGGGGGAGGGCGGAGCCGCCGAGGACGGCGCGGACGCCGAGGCCAGCGAGGAGGGCGAGGAGCAGGAGGAGGGCGCCGACGGGGACGCCGAGGACGCCCGGCCGCCCTCTCGGGAGGCGCCAGCCCGTCGAGGAGCAGAAAGCAGCATCAGTTGACAGTCAAACGGGATCGTCGGCTGTCCGAGCACGCTCCTGAGGGTGCGGGGCCGCGGTTTCGCGCGGAGGCTGGCGGCACGGTGCCCTGGCGGAGTGTCCAGAACGCGCCTCCGCGGATACGTCCTGCTCCTGCTGACGGGAGAGCCGGGCAGGAGAGCAAGGCCGAGCAGCGTGTTCACCGCGCATCCTGAGGATCCAATCGCACGGCATCGGCGGCACCCAAACATACTAATATTGTAATGGCCTCCGGCCAGTGCCGCCGATCCGGGGCGCTCCCGATGCGTGTGGGAACGGACGATGACGACGACGACGACCGACGACTGGGTCAACGACGGACGATGATGCCAAACATACTAATATTATGTATGTCGCCCCCGAAGGGGCGACGCGCGCGCGCCCAGAAATCTTACAGTCGGAGGTGTGGGTCTGAGGTCGAAGTGGAAGGGAGAGCCCCCCACAGGGAGATCGGTTTCGGTTTCGGGTTCGTGCCGCGCGTGAGCGCGAGGCGAAGCTGCGCGGGCGGGCGAGAGGAGTGGCTCCGCTGTGGCCAGGGCGGGTCGAGAGCCGTTGACCATCCCTCCTCCCTCCCCGGTGGGCGTGCGGGGCCAGGTTGTCCCACCGTGGTGTCCGTCGTGGTCTCGTCGGTGTCCCGTCGCCGTCGGGTTGCTGTCCCGTCGTTGTCCCATCGCTGTCCCGTAGGTGTCCTGTCGCTGTCCCGTCGGTTTCCCGTCGTTGTCTCGTAAATGTCCTGTCGCTGTCCCGTCCGTGTCCCGTCGCTGTCCCGTTGGCGTCCCGTCAGTGTCCCGTCGGTGTCCCGCTAGCGTCCCGTCAGTGTCCCGTCGGTGTCCCGCCGTGGTGTTCCGACGGTGTCCCGTCGATGTCCCGTTGTGTCCCGCGGTGCCCCGCCGTGGTGTTCCGATGGTGTCCCGCGGTGCCCCGTGGTGTCCCGCGGTGTCCCGCGGTGCCCCGTGGTGTCCCGTGGTGTCCCGTGAGATCGATAGTGAAATCGATAGTGAGAGCGATCGTGAAATCGATAGTGAGATCGGTAGTGATCGATAGTTATATCGATCGGGAGATCGATAGTGAGACCGAGAGTGAGATCGATAGTCAGATCAATAGTGAGGTAGATGGTGATATCGAGTGTGCGGCAAATAGTGAGAGCGATAGTGAAATCGATTGCGAGATCGATAGTGAGGCCAACAGTGGGTTCGATAGAGAACGGGGTAGTGAAATCGACAGTGAGATCGATAGTGATATCCAATGTGAAAGGGATAATGAGAGCGATAGTGGGATCGATAGTGAGAGGGATACTTCGATCGATACTGGGATCGATGGTGAGATTGACCGTGAGCTTGACAGTGATATCGACAGTGAGATCGATAGTGAGATTGATCGTGAGATCGATAGTGAGATCGATCGTGATAATGATTGTGTTATCGACAGTGAGATCGACCGTGAGATCGATGGTGAGATCGAACGTGAGAGGGTTATGCGATCAATAGTGAGTTCGATTGTGAGATCGATAGTAAGATCGATAGTGATATCGATAGTGGGATCGATGGTGAGATCGACCGTGAGATCGATCGTGAGATCAATAGTGAGATCGATCGTGAGATTGATAGTGAGATCGACAGTGAGATCGACAGTGAGATCGATGGTGAGATCGATTGTGAGATCGATAGTGAGATCCAACGTGAGAGGGTTGTGCGATCCATAGTGAGTTCGATTGTGAGATCGATCGTAGAGTCGACAGAAAGATCGATCCAGTGAAGCGTTGGTTTCTCTCCCTCCCGACTCTCCTTACCGCCCGAAGGGTGGTCGTATATGTGTAAGTGTTCCGTGGTCGGCGCCGTCTGGCTGTAGAGCGCGGGAAACGAGATACGAGAATCGGCGGTGAGCGATGGGGGGAAGTGAGAGGGAAGCGCACACACACACACACACACACATACACACACACACACAAAACACACACAACACACACAACACACACACACACACACACCAGTATCTTCTGAACGAGTGCCCGTGCGCTGATAAAACAACGAGTGCGCAGACTTCTGCTGCGTTGCCTTGAGATTGTCTACTCATCTTGAGAAGGCCTGCTCAGGAGGCGGCGGGACTTCTGAGAAGCCATCGCGCCTGCTGAGAAGTGCCGTGTGCGTCTTCGGGGAAGGCTCCGACAGCTCTTCAGAGGGCCGGGGGACTTCCGAGCCTTCTGGGAAGGCCTTCCCCTCCTCACTTCCCCCCCCCCCCCTCGCTCGCCGCCAATGCAGGACGGGTGTGCTCTACGTCCGGGTCGGGCGCACGCTGCCGAGGGGGCCACGCAGCACTGCGCATGTCCCTCTGCGCCCCGCGGTATACCTTCGGAGGTCCGCGGGCCCGCGCGGCTGGCACAGGTCGGCGCCGGATGCCGCTCCCCCTTCCCCCCCCACGGCAGAGGAGGCGGTGCGTGAGGGGGAAGCTCCCGCGCCGACCCTCAGAGGAGGAAAAGGCACCCCTACCGCTACCCCTGGCCTCGTGTTCCCTTGCTTGGGGCCTCCTGGGAGGCCCTCGTCGCCACAGCTGGATTCGCCTCGAAGTCCTGGTCGGAACGCGCCCCGGGAAAGCTCCGGGGAGAAGCGGTAGGGGTACCTTTTGGTCTCCCCAGGTGCGTGAGGTGGAAGTTCCCGCGCTGACCCAGGGAATCCGCGCGCGTGTTTCCGCAAGGTGACCCGTCGGTCGTTGAGAGCAAGTGGTTCTGGATTCCCGGGTCCCAGTCTGGTTTAGCCGCCTGCCTGCGTCAAGAGTCGAGCGATTCCCCCTTCTCCCTCACCTTCCTGGGGCGGGCGGAATCCAGTCTGCTGACCCCATTGCCGCGCCCTCTTTTGGCTTCCTGATACCCTGGGCCAGCCCCGTGTCCTGCCCTCGCAACCCCAACGCAGTCGCGCGGCGTTGTGCGGCACGTGCCGACGGACACTGCAAGAGTGCGTCTGCCAGCGCAAGCATTTGTTTTTTCTGCGCCGATACCGTAGGCCTGCATTTGCTCGCACCCTTGGTGTGCCATAGTTCCTGGCCAGCCGCTGCAGCTCTAGCGCAACGGCGGCCATATTGCCGCAGCGCGCACGCTGGGCAGATGCAGACGCGCATTGGTAGAATCTGGATGCGATGGATGTGGAAGGCGCTTCCGACAGGTAGGACCGCCTGCGATCCGATTCGATGCGATTCTGTTCGCAGGCTACAGCCGAGATCCCGATTCGGTTCGGCTCGCTGGAACCAGCTGGGGCCCGCCCGAGCCGGGTTCGATCCAGCTCAGGCTGGACAGATCGGACGGGGCCAGGACGAGGACAACTCCGTTCCAGAGCGTTATGGAGCGCTCTGAGAAGGCAGCGGCGCCCGAGATATCTTCAAGAGCCGCCAGATCTCAGAGACTTCCAATGTATCTTCACCCGATTGTATCCTCCCCCCGCCTTCGTCTTAAAGTGGCTTACCCCTGGCATTGACTCGAGGCCTGAGCTGCCGTGACGCGCCAACGCCGTCGGCGCCTGTGGTGACAGCACCACTGGCGGTGGCAACAGCGGCTATTGTGGCCGCTGCAGCATCAGCGACGACGACGACGACGGCGCCGGCGACGACGACGACGACGACGACGAGCATCTTGCACTGCGCCGGGAGCCTCACCGTCGCTTGTTTTTTCACAACGGGGATCCCTGCAGGTCTGGAAGTTACTGCTCGTGGGCACACGCGGCATCGAGTGAGATTGCTTGGAAGGAGAAAAGAGCAGTTTTATGAAGCACGCCTGGCGATGGACGCACGACGTCTCGTGCAAACGTTTCAAGTTTCATGATTTCCTGGCCCGATCCCACACCGAGTGGCCTTCGCAGAAGGCCTGCGCGCGACTAACGCGCCAGCCTCCGTTGAAGGGACGGCGGCTTCCCGGCGGCGGCTGCTTCGTTCCTTCGCTCGTTTTAGTAGCTACTTCCTTCCAGCACCCCCCCTTCAGTGCTCCCTCATGGTCTCCCTCGTGGGCCTTTTGGTCTCCCTCCGTAGAACCCCTTTCTCTTTTCATACCCTCTGGAGTACTCCTCTGTAGCACCCGTCATTCCCTGTAGCACACAGACCTCTCTACAGTGCTCTCCTTGCTACTCCGGAGCGCTGTTTCGGGCCTCATTGTCGTCATTATCGTCACCATTGTCGTCATTATCGTCACCATTGTCGTCATTATCGTCATTATCGCCATCATTATCGTCACTATCGTCATTATCATCATTACGTCGTCATTATCGTCATCATTGTCGTCAATATGCCGCCACGGACATAACGAGAAGGCCTGGGCCGTGGCGGCGCCGCTGCAGCCTGCGCCGGCGGCGGCGGCCAGGACGGCGGGCCGGCGGGCGGCGGCGGCCGCGGCCAGGATGGCACTCCAGCGCCGCCGCCGGCTGTGCGGACGGCATCCGCGTCGGCGCCCCTGGCGCCAGTCGCGGCGCCGAGGTTCGCAGTCGTCGTCGTCGCCGTCGCCGTCGTCGTCGCCGTTGTTGTCGTCGTTGTCGCTGTCATCGTCGTCGTCGTCTTCGTCGTCGCCGTCGTTGTCGTCGTCGTCGTCGTCGTTGTTGCTGTCATTGTCGTTGTCAGTGTCATCGTCGTCGTTATTGTCGTTGTGCTCGCCCTCGTCATCGTCGTCATTGTTCTCCTCGTCGTTGTCCTCTTCCTCGTCACCGTCCTCTTTCTCCCCCTCCTCCGAGGATGAGGAGGAGACGGACGAGACGAGCCCACTCCAGGAACAAGAAAGGCATTGACAGAAGTTTTGGGAGGTCCAGTCGTATTTCTCTGATCGGCATTGGACCCCAGGCGGCGCCTTTGGCGCCGCTCCTGGCGGCCCCTGGCGTGCTCCGCGCGCCAGGGAGGGGGGTCCAGCGCCGATGTAAGAAATTTGCGCGGACCCTCGCCGCAAGTTGATGCTCATGCAGATGTTTCTCCTTCTATTGTCACAGTCGTCGTCGTTCTCGTCGTCGTCGTCGTCCTCGTTCTCGTTCTCGCCATCGTCGTCCTTGGGGCTGGGAGGGGTGCTCGAACGCATGGGTTACAGCACATCGAGCCACAGGAAGAGGGGGAACGAGGAGGTAAGGGGGACGGAGAGGGCAGGGACGGGGGGACGGTTTCCTGCCTCCCTCGCACGTCGCGAGATGGACGCCACTGTGTGCAAAATCGCTGGCGAATACTTCAAGACTCTTCGCTGGCGAAAAACAACAACAACCAAAAAAAACGCTGGCGAAGAGTAGTTCAAGACAGGATCAGCACGTGTGCCACCCCAACCCTCCCGTGGAGTTGGGCCCTCGCTTTCTTCCCGTGGCGTCGCGGGCGCGCAGCACCCCGTCCTCCCTTTCCGTCTCGGCATCGCTCGGACGTGTGCCTCCTTCCCCGGCGAGGACCCGCGAGGAGCCTCCCTGGACCACCGCGCGGACCACCCACGCACGACCGAAGAGTGCACGGGGAAGGGACGTCCGAGCGATGGCGAGGATCCCTGCCGCCGCTCCTGCCGCAGGCCTTCGGTGGGAGTCCCGCCCCCGCTCTGCCGCCACCGCTGCCGCTCCAGGGCTGCGCAGCTGCTCCGAATCCCGAGGTTTTCTACATCGCAAGCGCAGCTGCAAAGGGAGCACAGCTGCTCAACGATCCGTGAGGGATTCGCCCCCTGCCGCTGGCCCCCTCTCTCGGAGAATGGGCAATGCAAGAGCGAAAGCATGGGGCCTTGGCGCCGCCGTGAAGCAGCGTCGGGACTTCACGCGAAGACGGTGAGTAATCGGCAAGACAAGTTGAGATGATGGTGATATTGTTGAATTCGGTGTTATTGTTCGAGGGGTTATGGCTTCGGATACGCGAATAGTGCGTAATGTACTAGGGTGTATGGCTTCGGGGTCGCAAAGATAGTGTAATGTACGCAAGTGTATGGCTTCGGAGACGCGAAGATTGCGTAGTGTACGGGGGGTTATGGCTTCGGACACGTGATTATTGTGTAATGTACGAAGGCTTATGGCTTCGGGGTCGCAAGTATTGAGTCATGTACGCAGGTTTATGGCTTCGGAAACGCGATTTACGAGGGTGTATGGCTTCGGGGACGCGAACATCGCGTGATTTACGAGCGTTTGTGGCCTCGGTCACGCAAGTATTGTATAAGTGTCTCGGGTTCATTGCTGCGGGCATACTACTATGGCGTAGTTTGCAAGGGTTTATGGCTTCGGGGACGCGAATATAGTGTAATTCACAAGGGTGTATGGCCTCGGGGACGCGAACCTTGTGTAATTTACGATGGTGTATGGCCTCGGGGGCGCGAATTTCATGTATTTGCGCGTGTCCCACGCCCCCCCAGGGATTCAGAGCACGCGACTCGAGCGTGGTAACTAGGTTCCTTCTCGGCTCCCCCTCCTCGCGCGGACAGTAACAGTTTACAGTAGGAAGCATAAAGCAAACTTGCAACAGTGGAAACTGGAACCTGCAACTAGCGCAGGGAGCAGCAAACCCTCGCCCTACAGCCTGGTGGCCCCACAAGGGGGCCGGCGGATAGCTCGAGTATCAGAGGGCGCATCGTTGAGGGATGTTGCAGGAGGGAGAAGGGAGGGATGTTGTACCAGGGAGGAGAGGAGGAGGGTAAGGAGGCAACAGGCAATGAGTGGTCTGTGGGCTGTGGGCGTGTGGGCCAGGGGCAGGAGTCGTCCAGCCCTGGGTCGAGCTCGAGCTCGTCCTCGAGCTCGTCGTCCTAGTGACCTTAGGCCTTTCGAGGCTCAGACACAGTGCTCTCGAGGCTGCCCGCGCATCCGTGGGTGCGCTCCTCTCCGCCTGCCCCGCCACTCCTCCACGCCGCGCCCGGGGGCAGAGGGCGCCGGCCTCCTGGGATGAAGTCGGGCGTGTCCCTCCACAGGAGGAACATTCGAAAATAGTAAAACGATCGTTCGATCATTGTTCTACCATTTTCGGACATAATTATGTTGACTTTTGGTTTCTCGTCCAATCTCCGCCTGCAGGGGGACACGCCCGACCTAATCCTGTGAAGGCGGCGGGGTTTCTCGGAAGTCCGTGCGCCGTCTGCGGCTTCGGAGATGGCTGGCCCCCCGCTGCAGGGCTCGCCTCGATTCCTTCATCTTGCGATGCGATGCGGCTGCGATGGCTTCCGATCCCGGCGCGATTCGATTTGGGATTCCGATCCGGATCCCGATGTCTCAATGGGGGCCTACCAGCTTGCCGATTTTCCCGCCGATTCGACCTCGCCCGACTCGGCTGCTGATTGCTGCCGATCCGATTCATTTCCATCGCCGATCCGACTTATCGATTCGATTCTGGGCTCTCCTGCCTCTGCCTCCCCCCCCCAGCGCGCCGCCAAATTTTGGCACACCCCTCACGCGGCACCAGCGAGGGCGCCCATGGGTAGCGGCTCCCGGCCTATTCCCGCCCACCTCTCGCACGGATCGGGCCCTTGGCGAGGGGGTGGGTCCCACCTGCGGCGCCAGTGAGGGAGCCCGCATCGCGCCGCCCCGTCCATCCCCGCACGCCAGGGCTGGACCTAAACGCTGGTTTGCTGGACTTCGGCTGTGTTTTGTTTTTCGCGTTGGCAGGGCAAGTACAAGGGGAACAGGCAGAGCAAAACGAAACACATAACGAAAACAAAACGAAAAACAACGTTCAGGGCCAGCCCTGCCGCACACCCCTCACAGGGACCGTGCCCCAGAGGGGGCTCCCACCTCCTGCACCAGCAGGCACGCTTGCATGGCGCCGCCCCGCCCATCCCCGCAAGCAAGCCCCTCGCACGGACCGTGCCCCACGGGGGGCTCCACCGTGCGGCACCAGCGAGGGCGCCGCCCGCACAGCGTCGCCCCGCTAATCCCCGCCCGCTTCTCGCGCGGATCTCCGCCACACACGTACGCAGCACCCCGCAATTGCGGGTAAGAGTGAGGGGGCGGGCGCGGGCGACGCGGGCGTCGAGCCGGGGGACCTCGTGGCCCTCACCTTCCTTGTCGATGGCGCCCTCCTCCTCCTTCTCCTCCTCCTCCTCCTGCTCCTCCTCCTCCTCCTCTTCCTCGTCCGCGTCCTCGTCCTCATCGTCGTCGTCGTGCTCTGACAAGTTCAGCGCGGGGGGGATCGCTAGTGGGCCACCTGGAACGAATGCAAAAACAGCCCGCCGCAGGCGCCGAATTTTTTGGCTTGCTCAGTGAACGTAGTTTGGGTCGCGGGTGGGTCGCGGGCTCTCCATCTCCACCTGGAATCTATTCAAAAACAGCCCGCCGCAGGCGCCAGAAATTTGGATTTGTACGCTGAACGCGGTTTGGGTCGCGGGTGGGTCGCAGGTTCTCCACTTGGAACGAATGTAAAAGAAGCCTGGCGCTGGTGCCGGAAATTTCGGGTGGGTCGCGGGTGGGGGCGCGGGTTCTCCACCTCCACTTGGAATCTATTCAAAAACAGCCCGCCGCAAGCGCCGAAAATATTGATGTGTAAACTAAACGCGGTTTGGGCTGCAGGTTTTCCACCTGGAACAAATGCAACAGAATCTCGCCGCAGGCGCCGAAGTTTTGACTTGTTCGGTGAACGTAGTTTGGGTCGCGGGCTCTCCACCTCCACCTGGAAGAAATTCAAAAACAGCCCGCCGCAGGCGCCGAACATTTTGATTTGTACACTGACCGCGGTTTGGGTCGCGGGTGGGCCGCAGGTTCTCCACTTGGAACAAATGTAAAAGAAGCCCGCCGCAGGCGCCGAAAATTTTGGGTGGGTCGTGGGGTGGGTCGCGGGTGGGTCGCGGGTGGGTCGCGGTGGGTCGCGGGTGGGTCGCGGGCGCGGTTTGGGTCGCGGGTGAGTCTCAGGTTTTCCACCTGGAACGAATTCAAAAGAAGCCCGCTGCAGGCGCCGAAAATTTTGGGTGGGTCGCCGGGTGGGTCACGGATGGGTCGCGGGTGGGTCGCGGTGGGTCGCGGGTGGGTCGCGGGTGGGTCGCGGGTTGGTCGCGGTGGGTCGCGGGTGGGTCGCGGGTGGGTCGCGGGTGGGTCACCCGTGGGTCGCGGGTGGGTCGCCGGGGGGGTCTCGGATGGGTCGCGGGATGGGTTGCGGGTGGGTCGCGGGGTGGGTCGCGGGTGGGTCGCGAGTGGGTCGCAGGTGGGTCGCGGGTGGGTCGCGGGGTGGGTCGCGGGTGGGTCGCGGGGCGGGTCGCGGGTGGGACGACGACAACAACAAACAACAACAAACAACAAACAACAAACAACAAACACAAACAACAACAACAACAACAACAACAACAACAACAACAACAACAACAACAACAGCAGCAGCAGCAGCAGCAACAGCAACAGCAACAGCAACAGCAACAGCAACAAAAACAACAAAAATCCGCATCGCGGAATTCACTTCAGCCACGCACCCAGTGACAGTGAATGACCGTTCGGCTCAGCCCCCTCACTCTGATATTGTTATATACATATACACACAATGCATATATCTATATATATATATATATACGGACAGAACACACCATCACAGAATCATCATCACCATCATCATTATCATCATCAGCAGCAGCACCATCATCATCATCATCATCATCATCATCATCATCATCAGCATCAGCATCGTCATCATCATTCTCATCATCACGGTCATCAGCATCATCATTATCAACATCACCATCATCATCATCATCATCATCATCATCATCATCATCATCATCATCATCATCACGGTCATCATCATCATCATCATCAGCATCATCATCATGTACACACGCCCTCCAATGGATTACTCCTGGGCCTCAGGAGGAGCGGCGGTGCATAAATCACCACTGAGGGCCAGCGACTTTATACACCGCCGCCCTCCCGGAAGATACATGCTGAATTCGACGGACGGCGTCTGTGTATACACTTTCGTGGCGTAGGGGCTCCCACCTACGGCGCCAGTGAGGGAGCCCGCACAGAGTTGCCCTGCTTGGTTCGGCTGACGTGCGCACAGGCACGCGGCCCCAACACCCACAACCCTCACGAGGGTCGTGCCCCGTAGGGAGCTCCAACTACAGCACTAGAGAGGGCGCCAACGCGGTGTCGCTAGTGCTGCAGATGGAGCTCAAAGCTGACGAAGCTCGCGCTCGAAGCAATTAGAGCTAGTCGACCAATTGCGGAAATCGAAGAATAAAAAACGCCATAAACATAAACTTTTGGCGCTCCGCGCGGATTTCTCGGATCTGCGCTGGGACACCCCCGCTGGCGCCGCCCTGCGCGCTCCGCGCGCCAGAGAGCGGGGTCAGATCCAAGAAATCCGCGCGGAGCGCCAACAGTTTGGGTGTATATCGTTTTGCCCTTCCTCTAGGAAAGCGTACGAGGCACCATGTGGAGTCCAGCGCAGGAAGGGCGGGGGGGGCCCGACACCTGTGGCGTGCAGCCGGTCTCGGCCCGCCGCCTATGCGTCTTCCTCGAGGCGTCGGCGCCCCCAGCGCCCTGGAAGCCTGCTCCGCGAGTGGATCCGCCGACCGCCCTTTTGCCACGGCAGGGTCGTGCGGCGTTGGCGCGCTGGTGACGCGGGCGAAGGCGTTCAGGGATGAACTCTGCGACGCGGAAACACCGAGGGACACGGCGGCGCCACTGGACACGACGGAAGCCGCTTTTGAACGGTCGGGGCCGCGATCGGTTCAAGGCTGAACGATCGACGCGGTGTCAAAAACCTCTGCACGTGCCGACGCCGCACGAACCTACCGTATCCCCCCCTCCCCCCCCCTCCCTCCCTCCCTCCCTGCTCCTCCCCCCTCCCCCTTCCCAGACCCTCCCTCCCTCCCTCCCTCCTCCCTCCCCTTCCCGGGCCCCCGACGCCATGATTTTTGCGCCGCGTCGGTCCTCAGCCTACCTGGACCCCCTTCAAACTGGGACCGCTGTGCACACCGAGGCGCGCTTTTGCCACGGCCCCCAGGGCACGACGAGAGCTCTCCGAGTCCGAACATGCCCAGAGTTTGGGATGCAACTCCTGGGAATTCAAATTCTGATTTTGCCCTGGTCCGAAGTCCGGCTTAATTCGGTTAAATCTGGCTTAATCCCGTTTAATCCGGCTTAATCCCGCCTAATCCGGCTTAATCCCGCAGAGTGTCGAAACAGTGTCGAAACTGTGTCGGGCGAGTGTCTCCCCGACACGTTCAGACCCTTGAGTTCCAGTACGCTTTTTAGGCGCTCAAAATTCTTCCTGGTGGTCAAGGCTAAAGTAGGTTGGAGCATCATAACTTTAAGTCGGGCGTGTCCCCCTACAGGTGGATTTTCGACGGACAAAAAAACAAAAAATAGTCTTGGGATTATTCTTTTAGTATGTTTTGACACCTGTGGTGCATTGTTGGGGGTATGTTCTAGTTTTTGGCGAGAATCTCTGTAGGGGGACACGCCCGACAAAATCATAACTGCAGGGGGGACATGCCAGAACCTAAGGCTGGGCGCCGGCGGCCCAGGCCCCGCGCCGGGGCGCGCGCCCTCGCCCGTGCTCTGGGCGAACCCCGGCGCGCGGCCGGTTCGGCGCCGTCCGCGCGCCTGGGGCCGAGCTGGGCGCGCTCGTCGGGGGCGGCAAAGAGGGGGGTCAGGACTAGGGTTATGTCGGGTCTGTCCCCCTACAGGGGGATTGTCGACGAAAGATAAAAAAAATACCCCAAGAATAATCAAAACATGGTCGGGAGACTGTTTTTTACTATTTTTTTTACTGTTGGGGCATCTGCGGGGTATTTCTTATTTTTCATGGCGGGGGCCATGATTTTCCCCAGATTTCTTGGCGCCCCTTCTTATTTCATGACGTCCCTGGCCCCCCCGCTGGGCCGCGCACACGCCGCCGGTCATGATTTGCACCCCCCCCCTCTTGGACACCCCCCTCTTGGCCGCTCCCGACTTGAGGCCGAGCTAGACGCGCTCGGCGATTCACCACCCACCAGACCACCCCAACCTAACCCGAAGGCCCAACTTTCCCCTCCATCTCCAGGGAGGGGGGGGGTCGGGGAACGTGGAACAATTCACGTATGAAGCCCGCCCCCCCCCCCCTACCCGAGATCCATGCGAATTTCCGGTCTTCGGGACCCCCTCGCGCCGTGAAAAGTCACGGCCGGGAGGTGTGCCGTCACGCGGGGGTTGGGGCTTGTTTGCCCCTCCCCTCCGCGTGTCCCTCTCCCTTTGGTGGCGCACCCCCCCCCCCCACCCACCCATTCGGATGCAACTCCTGGGAGGTCAAACTCTGATTCTGCCCTGGCCCGAAATCTGGCGCAACCCCGCTTGATCCGGCTAGTATAATCCGAGGCCCACGCCGGCGTAAGAGCCCCCCAATGGGGCTCAATCCCCTTGTAATCTTTCCGACGAAAACCTCCCAGCAGCTGCCTCCTCACGCCTACCCCTCCACAGTTGTGCGCAATACGGCTGCGGCACGTTCGTCGCGGGCCTGGCGTGCCAGTGCGACCCGACCTGCGAGCAGGCCGCCTGCCACCGCCGCGGGCCCCTGCGAGCACGGGGAGAGGGAGCTGACGGCAGAATCCGTGCTGAAGGGAAGAATGAAGCGAAGGCGAATGTTTGTTTAAGTCGGGCATGTCCCCCTGCAGGAGGAATCTTCGAATAGATTCGAGAGTAAATCAAAAAAAGTCGGGGGACGATGTTTCGATTATGGTTGGCTACGTTTGCATATTATTTGGCTTGTGTTCGTCGTTCGCCCAAAATTTGCCTCTAGGAGGGCATGCCCGACCGAAGACTAAATCAGTTCACTGAATGCACAAAGTGTCACTGAAGGTAATGTGCGTCACTGGGGGTGGCTCGGTGGCCCCCAAAGCCAGATCTCTCCGACGATTTGCTTTTTCTTCGTTCCATCCAACCTTATTATCCGATTTCGGCCCCTGGGGGGGCCCAAGACTATCAAAAACGGACCCAGGGACAGCTCGGGGGCGCTCCAAACTCGAGGGACAACCAACGGCATAAACATAAAAGTTGTCCAAGCTCCACGCGGATTTCTTGGGTCGGTGCTGGATGCACCCTGGCGGTGCCTCCAGCGCCGCCCCTCGGCGGGCTTCCCCGCCGCCAGCTTCCGCGGGCAAGGGGGGGCGGATGGAGGGGGTATGGGGCAACGCTAGGGGAAGGAGAGGCTAAGGGTGGGGGAGGATGGATGGATGTATGGGTGAATGGATGGATGTATGGCTGGATGGATGGAGGAGGAGGAGGTGACGGAGGAGGAGGAGGAGGAGGAGAAGGAGGAGGAAGAGGAGGAGGAGAGGAGGAGGAGGACAACGACGAGGGCGGGACGGCCGGCGGAGGGAGGAGAGGAGAACAGGGTGGGAGTGCGGGGGGGAGGAAGAGAGCACGGGCGCGGTGTGGTGGGGAAAGGGGCGAGGGACGAGGGCAGGTTGTAGGTCGACCCTGCCGAAGCAAGGGTACCCGTGTGTCCTGTGCCTCGCGACCCATGCTTCCTGCATTCCCGTGGCGATGTGGCCCTCGGAAGGGTCTTCGTGTCCTCTCGCGCGTCCTGCCCAATCGGGTCCGACTGCATGGGGGGGGGGGGGAGGGCGGGCTCACGGGGGGGGACGCCTCGAGCCCCCATCGCCCACCCGTCGCCGACGCGGGGCCCGATCGCCCACCCAGCCCAGGAGCGCGCGGTTTCACTGTCAGGGCCTATCTCCTCCTCCTCCTCCTCCTCCTCCTCCTCCTCCTCCTCCTCCTCCTCCTCCTCCCCTCCTCCTCCTCCCCTCCTCCTCCTCCTCCTCCTCCTCCTCTCCTCCTCCTCCTCCTCCTCCTCCTCCTCCTCCTCCTCCTCCTCCTCCTCCCTCCTCTCTCCTCCTCCTCCTCCTCCTCCTCCTCCTCCTCCTCCTCCTCCTCCTCCTCCTCCTCCTCCCCCCTCCCTTCCTCCCCGAAGGACGTTTGCCCCTCGGCGACGTATCGCCGAATCCAGGTCGACGTTTGCCCCTCGGAGCGGCGCCAAAAGGCGGGGCCGTCTGCGCCGACTCTGGCGAGCAAGCTGCCCGCGTAGGCTTGCGCGCAAGCGCCCTCGCTTCAGATGTGGCGTGCCGCGCGGGCGGCCCGCGTCAGCCACCGCGTAAGATCGTTACGCAATCTCGCGCAAGACCGGTTTTTGATCGCCGCTCCCTTGAGTTGGTCCCACCCTACTCCGAGTTTCTTAGCGAGTGTCGGGGGGGCGCCACCCCCGCCGACAATCCCACATCGGCCCCCGTCGCGGGCAGCCACCGAGCGCCGAAGGCGCTCCGACCCCTGTCGCGGCGCGACGACGAGGCGAGGGTGACCCCCGTCGGGGAGGTACCCCCGACGGGGGTCAGAGCATCGTTGCCGTTCAGAGCATCGCTGATTGCGCCCGCACAGCGCCCCTGACATTCCCCTCCACGACACAGCTCGCTGCCCGCACCCCCCCCTCCATCCTTGACCTCTCTCTCCCGAGACGTGGCAATCTTCCTGTGACGTCGGCCCCCGCGGGTCCTCGACCACTTCCTCGGGGCCCTACGGCATCGTTGGCGTTCAGTGCTCGGCGCCCCTCCATCTCGCTCTATCCTCTACGTCCCTCTCCTCCCTCCATCCATCCATCTCTCTCTCTCTCTCTCTCTCTCCCTCTCTCTGGATGTGTTTATGGACACGCATGTCAAGTCGTGGGCATTGCCACACATCTGTATCTCCCTCTCTCTGTATGTGTTGATGGACACGTGTGGAAAGTCACGGGCACTGCCACACACGTGTGTATACGTACGTTCCTACATGAGGCGCTCCAGAGAGGGCCTCGCCTTCCAGGGGTCGGAGGAGTTAGGGTGTCCCCATCCTCGGCGGAGGGCCGGCGGAGGGCCGGCGGAGACGAAGCGGGAACGGCTCCGCGGGCGGAAGCCCGTGAAGAGCTGGCGGAAGCCGGCAGGAGCAGAGATGCGTCCCACAGAGATGGTATTCGTGTTGGGGTCGGGGTTTCCGGAGTCGGCCACACGTGTATGCATACAGATGCAGATACACATGCCATATACAGATGCACGTGGTCGAGTTGCACATGTCGATACGCGAGGGCATCGTATGCGTAAATAGATGTGTGCTCATGCATGCATGTGCGCAAGCACGTGCGAAAACATGTAGCATCTCACGTGTTGCGCCTTCCGGTGTACACGTTTCATGTCTGCAGTCGGAGCCGCGTTTGGTTTGTAACTGGCCCCTTCTTTCAAAGTTGCCCTGTCCACTGCGAGTCCCAGATCGTGTTTTGTCCGCTCTGAACCTATACGCCGTCTGGCTTCAGGAGCACGCGTGCCTTGATGCGTTACCAAGGCTTGTGTAATGCTAGGGCCAGTGCCTCACACATCGAAGAGCGTCTATGACCTACTAGTTGTTTCAAGGGGCTACACGGGACAAAATGTGAGCGCGGCGTTTTTCGTGAACATGTGTTTTCGTAAATTTGCGTTGTCTGGGACCAGGACAAGATTATTTCCAGACTACCTCTGCCCAACGACCCTCAGAGGAACGGTCTGCGTCAGGGCTCCCGAGCGTGCACCAGAGGGCTTCAGACGCGCTAGCGCAAGGCTTCCTCAAATCCAGGATGCTTGCGGTGAGTTGGCCATGCACCGTAATTCGTCAGAACGTCCAGCATTTGCAAAGATCGCACACCATGAGTTCAAGGCACAAGTTTTGCTTTTTTTCTGGCGAAGGCAGAGTGCAAACGCACGCCCTTTGTGCGAGGTTCGCGATGCCAAGGAGGCGTGGTGCAGATGTCTTTCCTCCCGACAGCCAACACCTTGAGGTAGAGGGTAGAGGATTGAGACAGCAATTGCCTTGCGCCTTCATTCTGCACCTCATCTAGCACGTCCTCGTCATCGCCACCCGAGCTCCCTATCCTACCCTCTGTGTGCTCATCCGCCTCATCTTCCTCCCTCGTTGGTCTACGACTCCCGCTCCTAGAAGTAAGTCGGGCGTGCCCCTCTGCAGGAGGGATATACGAAAATAGTCAAATCGTCTGGGGACGATGTTTTGACAATGTTTGAATATGTTGGTGCATTGTTACTACCATCTTTCTATATTATTCGCCCAAATCCCCCTGTAGGGAGACACGCCCAACCTAACTCTAACCCTGGGGAAGATATCTGGATTACGGGACGCAGAACGACATAGTGGAGACCCATGCCAAGAAACACCCTGCTTGCCTCCAGGGTACCCTGGGTTTCTTGAGTGTCGAGTGTTTTGCTGTGGACGGCGTGACGCTCCCACACCAGAAGTCAATTGACGTCCTGGGGTCTCAGGGTTAGGTTTCTTGTGGAAGGTTTCTTGTGGCCGGGCCTTCACTATATGAGATAAGTAGACTGTTCCGCCATCGGGGAAGCCTGGCCCAGGGCGACGGAACCCCCACTTGCCGCCGTGGGCGTACAAACTCTCCGGCTGTCTTGGAAGAAGCATTCTCCTCCCCAGACCTCTGACGTTCTGATTTTTGTCAGAACGTTCAGACGTTTGTCAGGATTTGGGCCCCTTAGAGGTCTCGACCCTTCCCCGCGACCCGGTTTCGCATCCCGGCGTTTTTGTTGGGCCGTCCCCGATCCAGGCGAGGGCCCCCCGAGGCCGAAAATAGCCATACAGTTCCTTGTTATTTTTCCTCGCAGCGCGAGGAGGTCTGGCCCGATGGCGGGAGAGCGAATTTCACACCACCCTTGACCCGATTGAGTGGATTGGCCCCTTCCCCAAAGAGAGGCCGGCACCTGCTGCAGCGACTTCCTCGCCTCGTGCCCGGCGCCGGTGACGACGCCAGCACCAGCGCAGCAAGGGCTCGCCAGGAGGGCTTTGCTGCGCGTGTGGTTCGGCCTCCCCACTTGAAGCACCGCTGGGGTCGCCAAGGGGATGGGAGGTACTCCAGATTTCGTAATAAAGCTCATTTCGGGGGGGGTCTCTTCCAGGCTATCTTGGAGGGCCTGGGGGGGTCTGGGGACGATGTTTTGGAGGGTTCTCCCACGGGGGGGGGTCTGAAATGGCTTGTCTTGGAGGGTCCAGACCCCCTCCCTTTTATTACGACATCTGGAGTACTTTGGGGACGCGCAGCAAGAAGCCACTTGCTTTTCGTCATGGTACCCTGGGTTCCTTCGCTCCGCGCGCTGTCTGCGCGGTGACTTCCGCGGCCGCTGAAGAAGCTGCGGCGTTCCGGGTGCTCCAGGCTTCCCCTCAGGTGCGGGTGTTCAGGGTTGGGTTTCTTGCGAGGGTTTCTTGCGGCCGCGCCCGCACTGTATCTAGCGGCCGCGCGCAGAGGGGGGTAGCGGAAGGGGGGAAGGCTTCTTAGAGAGCAATACCCCTGCTTCTTAAAAGGCGTGGGCCTTGTCTGTAGATGTAGGGCCCGCGCCTTCTACGAAGCAGCCTCCTTCTAAGAAGCATTCCCCCCTCCCCCCCCTCTACGCGCCGCCAAATCTAATTGGATGCCAAGGTGGGTCATATGTATATCTTGCCTAAGCTAGGTTATGAGTGGGTTGCAATTCCTCTAAGCGGCTTGCGGGGGGCAGAGATGTGGGCCAAGTGGGCGGAGCCTATTCAGCAGAGTAACCTGACCCTTCCAATCCAATTAGGAACTTGTAGCCCACTTGTAAGCTGGGCCAAGCCAGATGCAACACACCTTAGCACTCACGCAGAAAAAGCCCAATCCCCTCAGCAGTCCTGGCGGTGATCCAAGCAGACCTCTTCGCGCTTCGATTGCCTGGATTACCGCCTTCACAAGAGTGAAGTCAACAGCATACGGCCTCTGGACGCAGGCCCCAAGAGGCCTTGTGAACATGTCGGAGTGGTACGTGTCTGATTGCTACGCGGCAAGACGTATCCGAGGTTGACGTTGCGAGGATGTCTCACGCGAAATTGGCCCGAGCACTATGGGGCAGGGCATCTCCGAAGTCAGCTATGCGAGGGAGTCTCAAGCGAAGAGTGGTCTGAACACCTCAGGCCAGAAGGTCGAAGAACCCCGTTGCAAGAGCGTCCGAGCAGCCCCCGGGGAGCTTCCCAGCAGGTCGAGCAGCCCGGGAAAGGGGCTTCCCAGCAGCCCAGGGAGTCCGAAATGCGTTCGGGGGGGATGTGTGTGCACATGTGAATTGATTTTGCGTATGTATGCATGTGCATGTGTATTTATGTATGTACGTATGGATATCAAATGACAACGTGCCTTCCAACGTCTGAACGTCCCAAGGGCGTTTGACGCACGTTTTACACGGTAAGGTATTGTTCAATGATGTCTACATTCGTGCAATACTTGCTTTACAGGAAAATTTCATGTAAAACGCTCTTGGGCCGTCTTGCGCCGTTCGTGCCCCGAAAAAGCGAAAACCGAAAAACTTTCAAACCTTTTCAACAAATCAATGATTTTTGCCTCTTTGGGTCTTCTTGGGGGCCCTTTTGGGCCGTTTTGGGACTCTCTTGGGCCGTTTTGGGGCCCTTTCGGGCTGTCTTGGGGCGTCTTGGAGGCCTTCGGCCGTCTTCGGGCTGTCTTGGGGGCCTCTTGGGGCCCTCTTGGGAGCCTCTTGGGGTGCTCCTGAGGCTCTCTTGGAGCCGTCTTGGGGCTCCCTTGGTAGTTTTCGGGCCCTCTTGGGCTGTCTAGGGGCCCTCTTGGGCCATCTTCGGGCCCTTTGGGGGGCCTCTGGGGCCGTGTTGGGGCGATCTTTGGAGCCTCTTGGGCCGTCTTGGGCCTTTCTTGTCCCGGAGAAGCGAAAACCGAAAAAGCCTTCAAAAACAATTGAAAAATCATTGATGTTTGCCTCTTCGGGCCCCTTTGGGAAGCCTCTTTGCGGCCTCTTGGGGCGTTTGGAAGCCATGTTGACGGTTTTGGTGTGCTTTGAAACTGTCGACGAGCTGTCTTGGGCAAGATTGGAGGCCTCTTTGGACCTTCCGAGAAGGTCGGAAGGCCGAAGGAACCCTTTGCAAGGGCGTCCGAGCAGCCCGGGGGGGGCTTCAAGCAGCCCGGGGAGCCCGAAATTCGTTAGGTGTGGGGGAGGGGCGCTTTTTCCGGGGTCCCCGGCCTTATCAAAATATCAAAATAGGAATACATATATATATATATATATATATAAGAGAGAGAGAGAGAGAGAGAGAGAGAGATATAAGAGAGAGAGAGAGAGAGAGGAGAGAGAGAGAGAGAGAGAGACAGAGGGAGACGGAGATGGAGGGGAGGAGCCATGTGTTCGCCCGGGGCGGCGCCCGGTGCTCGCGTGGCACTGTTGCGCATCTAAGCGCAGCCGAACCGGTTGGGATTCGACTCCGTGCCGATGCAGCCCGATCCGACGCACATTCCGATTCGATCTGGTTCCCCGATCCGTTGTCGATTCATCCTGTTTGGATTCCCCGCAATTGGCGCTTGCTGTATGTATCTGAAGATCTGATGGAAAAACATGATCTGTTGGAGGCTCGCGACCTCAGAAACTGTGTGCTCACGTGTTTCCAACCAAATCACCCCGACCCTGCAAGTGGCGTTTACTTCGCAGTCGCGCCCTTTCTTTCAAAACCCAAAAATCGTGTTCACGATCCGTTTTGCAGAGAATCCCCGCCGTAGCTGCTGTTCTCTCTCTCCCTCCCCCCTCTCAGTTGGCAGCGTCCCGGGCGAGAGATAGATTGGCAAGCCCTCCGTGCCGGAATGGCAGGGTCGAGGGCGAGGAGACGCAGCGAGATCCCTCGCCCGATGGCACGTGGTCGCGTCGACGGACTTGCCCGCTCGCACCATGTGTCGGGTGCTGCTAGAAGTGCCCCTGGCCCAAGGTGCCCCCAGGATCCCCAAGGAGGCCCCCATGTCCTCCCGAGCAACCCTCACGAGGCCTGGGGGGGCCCAGGGGCTCCAAAATGGAGCGAAAAGCTGGGGGCACCCTGGGCCAGGGGCACCTCTAGCAACCCCCGAATGTGTCCCACAGCGGTTTCTGCGTCGGCCCACCTGGTCGTCGCGGCCTTCTGCCCTCCCTTTTGTGCCGCGCGTCCTGCCGCTCGAAGCTTTTTTTCAGACGGGGGCTCCAAAGGGGCGGCCAGCCAGGGAACCCACGACCCGTCGGGCAGCGCTGCTCGGACGGTTGAGATGGCAGCGGCAGCTGCCGGCGGCGAGCGAGGGGGGGGGAAGTGAGAAGGAAAAAGCCCTCTCTAAGGGCGGCGGGACATCTCAGAAGCCCTCTGGCCTCCTGAGAAGTTTCTGTGTCTGCGTGAAAGGCTTGGAGAAGTTCTCAGAAGGCCGGGGAACTGCCGAGAAGGCACGGGCTCACCGCCAAAGTTGAGTACTCGCAGCGGGCGCTGACGAGGAGGATTCGCGAACGATTCGGTGGTCCGTGCGATGATGGATGACTGGTTGCTGCACACACTCCACCCCGAGCAGTGAAGCAACGCGGGTGACAGGATCAGCGCAACGGTGAACCAGTTGCTCGGCCGCCTGAACATGCGGTGACGCGTGATTGCCAGCACCCGGCGAAAAGCTGGCGGACGCGGCTGACGTGTAGAATAGAGTTTGGAAGGCTGACGACATATCCGCCGGCCCGAGCGATCGATTGATCTGAGAGAGGGACGGGTTCGTCAGATTCGGTGCGGGGGGCGATGGCCAGGCTCCTCGCCCTGATCCCGTTGCTCCCGTCCTCCCTGCTCCTCCCTCCCTTATGCTTCCCCCTCCTACCCTTTCTCCTCCCTCTGCTGCTGCTACTCCTCAACTCGCCCTTCCACCTCGTCCTCCTCCTCCACCTCATCCTCCTCCATGTCCGCCCTCCCTTTTCTGCCATCTCCTCCCTATCATCCTCCTCCTCCTCCTCCTCATCATCATCATCAGCACCATCATCAGCACCATCAGCATCAGCATCAGCATCAGCATCAGCATCAGCATCATCATCATCATCATCATCATCATCATCATCATCAACCCACCCCCTCCTGTTCCCTCTCCGCCGATCCCCTGCAACTTTCGTCCTCCCTCTTCCTTGCCCTCCACTCCTCCCGCCTCTCCCCCTGCCCCTCCTCGATACCGCCGGGGCTTTGGTTGAGGAGTGTGCCCAGGAGGCTTCAGACCCTTGAGGATTCCCAATCTGATGAGGGCGGCTGTGGTATCCAGGACGAATCCACGACTTGAGTTCCACCGGACTTCCGACCCTGGATTCTTTATCGAATGGTGCCTTATCCAATGCCCGCACCGTATCTTCCGCCTCCCCCTCCCGCCCCTCTACCAAATTTGTCCCCCCTCCCCTGATCGCTACTACCCGGCCGGCCATTGGAGGAGAGGGGGGCGCCAAGGAAGGAGAAAGGCGAGCTTCGAAAGTGTAACTTTAAGGCGGTGAGTGTTCTTCGTCTAATGATCTTCATGTTTATTCCTCACCTGACAGGTTGGGGTCATTTGATCCACAGGTCCCCCACGCCCCACGTGTCTCCGAGTGTCCCGCCTCGCGCCGACAAACCACGACATTACAGAGCCGTACCAGAAAAACAGCATAACCTAATATAACACAACACTAGAAGTTCGGATATATCAGAGCATCACAACACACCACGTAAGAGAACACATCCGACCATAGCATACCACATCATGACATACTTGATCTTGACATAACACACCATGATAGAGCAGTGCATACCCTAGCACAGCATGCTAGCACCGAACATCACATAACATGGACAGGCATGCGTACCATAAGAAAACACTGCATAATTCAGCATACCCAAACATAACATGCCACAGCCTCACAGAGCATGGCATTACATAACACATCATGGTACAACACAGCATGGTAACGCATGCCATGGTATACCAGATAATGCATT